AAAGCATGGTGCTGTGCATGGCAGAAGTGATCAACAGACTTGGTTAAGAAATTTTGGAACACTCAGCTTACAGTTAGAATCTGTCACCATGCAATTATCACCTGTTGACCCTTTGAAGGTTTGGAAGACAGATTAACCCAGAATGCTGAAGTTTTTTTTTTTTTAATACTCTTTCCACCCATGGATACTAAGAGGGCCTCTTATAGCAGGCCCATTATGGTTTCGGCCAGGCCCACAATGGGGCGACCGGGTGGTAAGAGATGGGACCCTACATATCCGAACAGACCACCCCTGAAAAATTCTTGGGGTTCCTTGACCAGTCCAGATTCGATCCCGGGTCATAGGCTGCCACCTTGACCATTCGGCTATCTGGCTGTCAGAATGCTGAAGTCAAAGAGTTTGTCTCCAAAATTAGCCAAATGCTCTGCATGAATAGCATTGTTACCAAAACAATGAGAGAAGTGTCTGCATGTAGAAGGGAAGTACCTAAAGAAAGAAATCAAAACTATGTGGCACATACAGTTCCATCACCATTACTAAAATGCTAGCAGCAGAAGTTGGAAGTTGAACCATCCTTTTATATATATAAATACTTTATATGTATAAACATATATTAGTTTTTGTGATAAATATTTTTGCAATGTTCATTAATTTTGAACTCTGTTGATAAAAAATACATTTCCTTCATCTAAATAACATATTTGTTTATGCCAAACAATTGCCATATTACATTGGGCTATAATAATGTTACTAAATACTAATTAAATGTCAAATAATTTGGACTAGAGATAGCCCAAATTACAATTGTTTGGCATTAATTAATCTAAAAATTGGGTTAATGGATATGTATATTTGTACATTTGCTTATTTGAATTTGTAAAAAAAAATTCATATTCAGAAGTTGAATAAATAAGTTTTAATTAGACATGAAATCATTACATAGTATTAGCTTGCACACTGTTTTGTGTCTTGAGTGCATTTGTTTAGATTGAATACTATAATTTGACATTATCACATTCTTTTGGAGTGCTTTCCTAATTCAGATGGAGACTATGGAGATTTTTTTATAAACTAATGGATCACATAAAAATTGTTAAATTAGTTTATGATATTTATATTATTGCTTAAACTTCTATAAAGAATTATATTTTATTGAAAATCTAAAGAAAGTAAACTGTCGTCATCATTATTATTAAAGTAATTAAATGCCAGTTTTTCATACTATAATACAATTTTCTCATTTGTTTGATTAAAAAACTTTAATGTAAAAAAAATGTTGATAAAGTAATAAAATTTTTTTCTAATGATATCAAATAAATATGAGTTTTCAACAATTGACAAAATATGAATTTTTTATGATTACAAGAAGAATTTAATAGTCTATTCTGATATATAAGTTTCCAAATAAGTTCTTTAATTTGAGAATAATTGCTAAAAGCAATTGAAAATGTTCATTTTCCTCCATTGTTGTTTAATAGAAAAATTTTAGCATATCCTATAATAGATATAACAAGAATTCTAGAAGTTACACAATATCAGAATAAATTTTGTATGATATAAACTATATAAAAATTAATTTATGTTCAATAAAAAACTGTAACCATATCAACACAGTTCACTGTTTCTTTTTGGAGATTATTGGTTGCTTTAACAAAATTTCACTGAAGAAATCTCAATTATCAATAATTTTTATCATTTCTATCTAAAAGAAAAATAAATTTTTGTTGCTTTTACTTTTATATAATATCACTATGTAATTTCTTTATCTATACTAATATTATAAAAAGGTAATGTTTGTATGTATGTATGTATGTATGTATGTACTGTATGTATGTAAGTTTGTTTGCAGCAGGTAATTTCCGAAACTACTCATCCAATTTCAAAAATTCTTTCACCAATATTTAGAATGGAACCTCAGGATGGACATAGGCTGTATATTATTCCGTTAAACATTCATATAAATTAATATATATAATCTAGGTTAAGGCTTTTATGTCCAATAGATGGCACTACGAGTATGACGCCCTAAGTTTGCTTTTCTGTGAGGCATTATGCTTTTCTGTGAAAATGAACTAAAGCAGATCATCTTCTATCTATATAAATAAAAATGTAATGTTCGTTTGTTCCTACCGATTTCTTTGAAATTTTGACACAACGCTGCATTCAAATACGCACGTGTTTTTATATAATATACGTGTCGAAATTCCCCCCACTGAAGGGAGATGGTTAGGATTAAGGCTTACCGTAAAGAACTCTGCTTCTATTTATACTATTTTAGATGCGGTTTTTTGCGTTTTAATAGGGTATGTCAACAGAATGTGCACTAAGAAGAAATTTTTCGAAAAATTCCCCCCACGGGGAAGTGTTATAAATTTATAATAGATACATTTTGAGCCACAACAACGCGTGGTGGGGTCTGCTAGTAATATAATAAATAAGGCACTGACATTAAAAACATCTTTAAAAAATTTCATGTTGAAATCATCATTTTTCAAAATATCTCTTTAATCATTAATATTTTAATGAGCCAGGAACTGATGATCATTTAATAAAGATATTGCTGTAATTTTATGACTTATAATTTGTTCAATATTTCAATATCCAACTGTTAATTCAATTATTCAATTCAATATCCAACTGTGATGATGTTAACCATTCAGTTGTTGCCATCCCTTGGTCACCATATGAATAACACTTCTCCAAAGTTGTCTGTGCCTGACAACTTCCTTCAGCTGCCACACTGTCATGCCACAATCAGCCTTAATCGTGTCCAGCCAGCAAGTTCTTTGTTGTCCTCTTTGCCGAGAACCGCTGATATATCCCCGCATAATATCTTTTTCCAGTCCATTTGCATGCATAATGTGCTCAAAATATGAAAGTTTTTGTTTGGTGATCTTAGCCTCTAATGTCATTTCTGGTTTGACACATTCCAGAATAGTCTGGTTTGTGATATGTGCTGCTGTCCAGGGGATGCAGAACATTCTTCTCCAGCACCATAGCTCAAAGTTATCTATTATTCTTCTATCAGCTTTTTTAACAGTCCAGCTCTTACATCCGTATATCATTATGGGGAAAAACAATTGCATTTATTAGTCTGTATTTGGTTTTAGTGCCTTTATCTTTCTATTATTCAATAATAATAATAAAAACAATTCAAAATGATATATATGAAAAATTAACAGAATAAATTCAATGTTTCAAAAAATAAAGTAATAACTAAATTAATTAAATGTTTAAAGTAATGTTCATAATCTTAGACTTCAATTTGTTAATGTATTATAATTTAAAAGAGAACACCTCATTATAAATACAACAGATCCTATTCTTATGACATAATTGATTCCCAAAAAATCAATCATCATTAAATGAGCCAACATAAATCAAATTCTAATTCCCATAGGTTCAATGTCATAAATTAAAGTTTTATTTTTGGAAATATATTTATAATCATATAATAGATTCAAAAATGGTTAACTGTTGAAATGCCATATTTAAATATATTCATACAACTATAACAAAAAACTCATACCAGTCTTAAAAGCAACAGTTTATGAAGTGAGCAGTTACAAGTTGTGTATATTAGTTATGAAAATAGAGATCCGTTGTATTAAAATATAAAATTTTTCCAATCTAAAAATACTAAAAATACAACAAAATTGGATTTTCATTATCTCTAAAATGGAAAAATTAAATAAACTTCAATGACTCAGGAGAAGATTATATATGAAGTTTAACAATATTACTGTTACTTTGATATTTTNTAATAACTAAATTAATTAAATGTTTAAAGTAATGTTCATAATCTTAGACTTCAATTTGTTAATGTATTATAATTTAAAAGAGAACACCTCATTATAAATACAACAGATCCTATTCTTATGACATAATTGATTCCCAAAAAATCAATCATCATTAAATGAGCCAACATAAATCAAATTCTAATTCCCATAGGTTCAATGTCATAAATTAAAGTTTTATTTTTGGAAATATATTTATAATCATATAATAGATTCAAAAATGGTTAACTGTTGAAATGCCATATTTAAATATATTCATACAACTATAACAAAAAACTCATACCAGTCTTAAAAGCAACAGTTTATGAAGTGAGCAGTTACAAGTTGTGTATATTAGTTATGAAAATAGAGATCCGTTGTATTAAAATATAAAATTTTTCCAATCTAAAAATACTAAAAATACAACAAAATTGGATTTTCATTATCTCTAAAATGGAAAAATTAAATAAACTTCAATGACTCAGGAGAAGATTATATATGAAGTTTAACAATATTACTGTTACTTTGATATTTTAACAATATTGATATTTATCTTTCTTGTTACTGAAAGGTATTCAAATGATATGTTCATTCCAAAACCTCCAAAAAGTTTTAATGTATAAAAATATATATTTCAGCACATTACGTTAACATAATAACAGAGAGAAAAAAATAATCATCATCGAAATTTGATGATAAATAAAAACACAAAGTCAAAACGACACGTCCAAAGACTTAATTAATAATAATATAATTACCGCAGTTGAAACTTTTATTTGTCATCAAATTTCAATTTGTTTTTCTTAACAATGTAAGGTGTTGCTAGTTACAATAAAAACCTTCAGTTGTTTTATGACTTTGCAAAATCAATACAACTAAGTCAGTTCCTATGTGAATGATTACTTAGAAGTACAGTACATCCAACTATATTGTATATAAAAAGATTACAGTATAAACAAATATTTCATGTTATTAAAAGTGATTATCATTATCAACATTGTAATGATGTTGATAATGATAATGCATTGATTGATGATATTTGGATTGAAATATCAAAGTTTATAGTCTAAGTCTATAAAAGTAAATGCAATCTTTTAGAAAAATAAGCTTTATATTTCTATTAAATTAATAAAATAAAAAAAAAACAATAATTTTGAATTCGAATGAACAGGTATTAAAATTTTGACGTAAATATAGGAAAAATAACGAACGATTATTACTTACTTCGAATATTTAGTTTTAACAGTTGTTTCTAAAAATACAAATGCAATTTCACAACATTGTCAACGAAATATATCGATAATTATAAATTTATTAGAATTCTATTTTCCAATAAATTAACGCCACGTACGTCCATCTTTCACTCGATTCTAATAATCCCTCTAGTGACTAAAATAGATTACCTCAACTTGATAAACATTAATGTTAATTATCTCGATAAATAATTTATTTTGGGGGTTATAAATAATAAAATATTTAATAAATAAATCTGAAAATTTTAACTTGTTATTAATCCGAATAAAATAACTTTAATAGCGATAAATTTTTAACTTTTCATCTGGGAAAGTTTTTCGCGTCTTCCATTGACCGCTCTTATGTAATTGTTTGTACTGTACCTGAATATTTTAAAGTCAAGCTTGTAAATGGTGCCAAACTTTAACTAAAATAATAAAAAAGAAAAGAAGTAATTCGGATACAACTGCACGAAAATTTTAAAATATATATATATATATTAACTGTATTTTATATTTACAACTCTTATTAAATTATTATAATTTTAATTGACAACATTTAGTTTATTTAATTATTATTTTTTTTAATCGCATAATTAATTTTGATTTTTTTATTCTTGAAATTTAAATAAAATTTTCTACATGAAATAATCCAGAGAAAATTTTTCTTTATTTTAAAAGTTGCATATTGCATAAATGTGGTGTTATATCCAAACAAAAACGTCTAAGATGTAAAAAGATTTCGCCATTTAAAAATTTATAACGATTTTGACGGCATTCGAAATTTTTTTTAGAAGTTTTTTTTTTAGGTAAAGATAAGCTTGGTGTTTGGAAGCGGTACCCACAAGATTTTTATCTATATTATTCTTTTCGCTTCCAAGCGCCAAGCTTATCTTTATCAAAGAAAAATTCCTAAGAAAAACTTTCACTGTCGTCTTGGCGAAATTTTTTTACATCACAGATGATTTTGTTTGTATATCAATTGTAGTTTTTTCTCTGCCAGAGTCTACAGTGCCGGATGAAGAAAAAGAAGAAAATACAGCGTTTTTTGGCGATTTTTTACACTTTTCAATTGCTTATATTTCGTCAACTGCTTTATAGAAAATCTTGAAATTTTGCACATTACCCCCCTCAAAAAAACGATTTTCTTTCATACGAGATATTCGGAATTACTTCAGGTGTTTGGGGTAGAAAAATCAGCAACTCTGATTCCTGTATATATAGTTAGTCGGTGATATTTTAACTTGGCGGGGAGTCACTGCCGTGACTCCTGATATTTTAATGTTTGATATAATGCTTAATATACTGTAATTTTAAAATTTAAAAATCATAATGAATGTGAAGCATTTACTTATTTTTCTCTTTCGTACCGCACATTTATCTGTTTATTGATTAGAAGAAAAATTACTTTCTTTTGTGGGAATTTGACTCATATCTTTCCAATGGATGTATGATACTTTCATATGACTACTTTTGTAAAAGTTTAGACTTTATACTCATAATATATTTTTTAAATTGTATGTATAAATTGAAATTTGAAATGTGATGTTGAAATATTCCAAATATTTCAATAAATGCACCCAAAATAATATAAACTAAAATACAGGTATCCCTCGCATAACAGGTAGATAAGTATCGAAAAAGTGCTGTGTTATGCGAATCCGTGCTATACGAAACAAAGGTCTAATGCAAAACATAGGACTACGCTCCAGAAATTAGCAAAAGTATACTATTCTTTTTCGTCACTATGATTATGAATTTTTTAAGGATAAAATAAAATATATACGAAGGCTGTTTTTTTCAACCTCCGTGGTCTATAAAACAAAGACAAGTGTAAATAACAAAATAAATTTATTACCAAAAGTTAGGTACAAACATGGTTACTTTTCGACATAATTACCGTCAAGATTGAGGCATTTGTCATTACTGTAGATGAGCTGTGCAATCCCTCTCTTCATAGAATGTTGCCGCCAGTGATTGAGATGGCCTTAACGACCTTGTTACGAAGATCGTCATTAGTCTCGAATAGGGTTTCTCATTTCCCGGTCTTTTGCTTGTCCCGGGATCCCGGGATAAAAGTGAACTGTTTCCCGGGATCCCGGGAAATCCCGGGATAGAATTAATTATTTTTAAGGTATACAAAATATCTTGAAATCAAATGATATAATTATTTTCCATTTTTTAAAGTAATTTTAAAGTTCTGTAACCTCCAAAATCATATTAATAATGCTGTGTAAGGTCTATAGGCCTATAATAAAAATTACCTTTAAATAACGTAGAAATTTTCACAAATAGAAAAAAATTAATTAAAGTTTGCTGGAAACTGCATACAACAACAACAAAAAAAATGTTTTGAATTGAGTTAAAAATTAAAAAAATGAACTTCTAATTTAGAAGGTAATTTTCGTTTTTTAAATAAAATATAATACAAAATATTGCAAACTTTTATAAGATTTTAAAAAGCAAAGATGGTCAATACTCCGATAACTCACTCTAATTCTTATTTTAGTAATGAAAAGTCTTGCCACCGAGAATGCCCTTTCCGATTCAATTGATGTGATTGGAATAGTGTTTAATGCATTTAAGAGAAGACAGATATTATGTGTTTTTTCACCTGTAGCCTGGAAGATTTCGAGTTCGTTTTCGAGATTGTAGTACTTCTTTCGCTCTCTAGTATTCTTGATTTGTCTACCTTGGCTGCTTTAATAGCGGCATCAAGCTTAGAGCTCGATAATTCGGCAATTCATTTGGCTTTAATAATCAGGTTTATGAAGAAAAACTTCATACTTGCAGACTTTGTACTCGTTTGTATCCTTGCCCAATTTGCACAATCTGGCGTCAGGCATTTATTGAAGCTACTGGGCATGGTTAAAACTCAAGACAGCGTAAGCACAATTATTCCAGATATTACAGGTTCCGACAAGTAAAGAATTTTTATAGTCCTGCCACAAATAAGCTATATATTGATTATTGACCATTTGTGACATGCTATAACGAGCAAAAATTTAAAAAAAACTAATAGGTAGGTTTAAAATTAATAAATACAAATGTATTCTGACAGTGAATGAGTTAATTATGCTTTCTATTTGCAAAATTCCTCAACCTTAACACAAAATAAGAAAAAAAGTGAATTTTTAAGAAATTTGCGGGATTTCCCGGGATAAGAAAAATTTCCCGGGTTAAAAAAACAACCGGGATCCCGGAATCCCGTTTGAGAAACCCTAGTCTCGAACCTCTGCCCTCATAGCCCAAGTCTCATGCTATATTTTCAGGATTATTTGTTTGGAAATCAACATTTGTATTCCAGAGGACCAGGTATAAATTTTGCACGGATTTACGACTATTTTTTAGCTTTGAATTTGGTAGGCACTAAGAGGGCTTTTTTTAATCGTTTGAGGGCGGCTGGATGGTGAGGGACGCGGGCCCAATTTAATTCAGAACATATCGTCCAGGAATCTCATGAAAATTCCTGAGATTCTTCATCAGGATTCAAAAACAGGACCACAGAGCGGAAGGTCGAGATATTTATCACCTTAGCCATGTAGCCATATAACGGAACGACAATTAATATTGATAGAATATTAATATTAATATCAGTATACTGTAATTGATACTGTAATGCAAGCCAATATAAAACTCAGTATATGTTTTGTTATTGTTGACCAATTTATTGATAAATTTATTTTCGTGGAAGATAAAAACAACACAGGAATCTGGCAACATAATGAGATTTTGTTATTAATTAGATTGGTTGAAGAAAATTATAATAATTTTGATTTTTCAACTAAGAAAAAGAAGACTTATTAAAGAGTTTTATGTATTGAGAGTATTAAAGACAAGATCGTGTTATTTGTGTTTGGTGTGTTTGATTAATAACACGATCTTGTGTTGAATACTCTCAAAAAATAGCACAACGCGGTTTCAAAAAACAAATAAACAAAAAGTTTTATGTATTACTAATTGTTTTGTGTTTTTAGGACAACTATTTAAGATTTAATTACAAAGTGCATAAAATTGAAGTTAGTTTTGAGCAATGTGATATAAAATGAAAAGGATCGAGAAGTAATAGAAAACAAAACAAAGATTCAAACAGAACAGTGGAAAATGGATCTTGCCATTAAAAATATTACGTTGTATTTATAGTAAACTTATATAACTTCAGTGGCGTGCCGTTATTGGAAGGGGTGGATGCGCCGCTTCCCTTGTATTTTCTAAAAAATAAATACATATTAATTTTAATTATACGAAAATAATCGCACAATATTTTATTATAACCGCATTATGTATCTTATTACAAATTTCCATACTATGCGTGAAAAAAAAGATAAGATCGCTATTGTATATTCGAATATTAGTAGCGGAGTGGAAGCGCTGTATCGTCAGCATCCAAACAGCCAGATTCGCGCACGCGCTTTACATACCGTGTTTCCCCGAAAATAAGACAGTGTCTTATATTAATTTTTGCTCTAAAAAATGCACTAGGTCTTATTTTCAGGGGGATGTCTTATATTTCCATGAAGACGAATTCACATTTATTGTTGAACAATACGCTAAACAGGTTCGAGAGAACACCTTGCGACACATTCAACTTAACCTTTTTATAGTGTCCACATCGAGCTCGATGACCAATTAGTGCTTACTGAACCGTAGCACTATGCAAATGTGATGTGGCGTGATTCCCAGCCGACCAATTAGCGATCACCAGCGATAACATTATGCAAATCTGTGATTCCCAAGCCATAGTCTTATGCAAATCATGCCGTGTGGCGTAATTGTCTGCTGACCAATCAGTGGCTGTACTTTCAACCATCTGTCGATGACCGTTACGACTAAAAAAAAACTTCGCTAGGTCTTACTTTCAGGGGGAGGTCTTATATTTCGCAATTCAGCAAAATCTGTGCTAGGTCTTATTTTCTGCGGATGTCTTATTTTCGGGGAAACACGGTAGCACCAACCTCACCCGGTTTAGCCGGTGGAAGCCTAGGACCTCGGGTGGATGCTACACGTATACCGCATCCAATTCCATCCAGGACCGGTTCTGGGCTGTTAGCTGCCTGTCCGCTAGATATTTGGCCGCCCTCGCCCGATTACGTAAATCACGAGTAGATTTATAACTTAACCCAACCGATAAGAATTTACTGGTATCTTTTTATGATAG